GATTAGATTTTTTTATTTCTGTGACGGTGGCAGTGCTACTGACAAGCCCACTGAGCTGCACACCCAACCCTAGTCTTTATTTTGAGACAGGGTCGGTCTCCTAGGTGGCTCAGATGGGACATGAACTTGTGAACTTGTGATCCTCCTGCCTCAGCCTCCCAAGTACTTGAAACAGATTTTCAAATTTCATTTCAGCTCAGGCTGGGGATTTAGCTCAGTGGTTCTGTCTCCTGCCTCATGAGTGCAAGGTCCAGAATTCGATCCCCAGTACAAAACAAAGTTCATTTCAGTTCATTGATGTGCTAGCTCACTGCACAAAACAAGACAGTGTCTTAATTTTGGTACAGGTTTGCTTTCAAATGGAATTCACTGACGAACTGAACCAATGACTTCTGTACCTGATTACAGTGGACCCTCAAGTTACACCTGGCCTGACATACAAACAGCTTGAGTTGTGACTGGGGTTTTAATTTAAGACCAAAGTCTTGAGTTATGACCTTAATGCCTGCCACTTGTGCTTCCAAGTGGCCTCAGACACACATTTTACCCCTGAAGACTTCTGGAGGGAACATGATAGCATCCTTCCCTGTGTGGGCTTCCCTGGGAGATCCCAGGCCGACGTCTCCAAGGACACGACACTGAGATCGTGTGTGTGTGTGTGTGTGTGTGTGTGTGTGTATGGGCTAAGTTTTCATCGCCACTGTGGATTTCCTTACCTGCTAGGGATATTGCATTCAGTGACTCAGTTTGCCTCAGAATCATCAAGAATTCCATTTCACACAGTTTTGCTGAGTGTTCTTTGGCCCTGGTCTTCATTCCAGGCAGTGACGATGGGCTCTGGGCCTAAACCTGCTGCCTGAGGTGTGTGAGGAAAGGGTTCTCAGTCTCACGGGAGTTGTTCTGGCCCCACAGCCTCAGGGCGAGGGATCCCCAAAGCCTGCAGATAGTGGAGCAGGATGTGGGCCCCAGGCCTGGAAGAGCAAAGAAGAGGAGGAGGAGGAGCCTGGCGTGGTGGTGTACGCAGATGACCAGAACCACGCAGATGGTGCTGCTGGGAGGTGCGTATCGCTGCGTGGCCCTGGCTGCGTGGGGAGGGAGGGACTGACTGGCAGGAGGCCAGAGTCACAGCGCCAGCTGGGCCTCGAGGTGGGGCGGGGCCACACCCAGGTGTTGGGGGGGCAGCTTTTCTGGACCCCTTCCTCATCAGTTTCACCTGCTTTCATCAGCTTTGCTAGAAAACTTTCCCCACAGAGAACTGGTGTGTTTGTTTGGGACAGGCTCTGGGTCCAGCCTGGCCCTGAGAGTCTCATGTAGCCCACTTCAAACTCATGGCCCTCCTGCCTCAGCCTCCCAAGTGTGGGGATCAATGGCGGCCACCACTGGGATTGCTGATCCGAGCCCTGAGCAGCAGCTTCTCCCCACAGCAACCTGGAGGTGCTGCATGGGCCACCAAGACAGGGACGTCACGGGGAGGGAAGGGGACGTCATGGGGAGTGAAGGGGAGGGCGGCCCACCCACCCTGGCCCAACAGCATCTGTTCCCCCCAGCGCTGTCCCCACGCCCCATCTCCCGGACCCGGCTGGCAGCGAGGACAGGGCTGGGACCCAGGACAGGGCTGCACCCCGCGACCAGCAACAGTGTTGGCAGAGGCAGAGCCGGTGAGCAGGGCAGCCTGGGCTACAAAGCACTAGACCCTGTATTAAAAAAACAAAAAATACTGCCTTAGAATAAGCACTGGTAGAGTCTACCTTGAAATATAGAGTAGCTTGGATGATTAAAGGTTAGTGTGGGAGCAGATTCTGAAGGTCCAGTTACTGGGGAAGTGTGAACCTGAACCCCACCCTCACCCACGTCTCTGGAGACAGAGCACTGAGATTCAGGTCCCGTTGGATGAGTCTTGTGTTGGACCTGCATCCTTTTATGTTCTTTGAGTTGACTTCAACTACAGCGATTCTATTAACAGTGTGGCCTGGTTGTTCCTTTGGATTTGATTGAAAAGGTTTTTTTGGTTTTGTTTTTTGGGCGTTTTTTTTTTTTTTTTTTGTACTGGGGATCGAACTCAGGACCTTGCACTTGCAAGCCAGGCGATGGCACCACTGGGCTGGATCCCTGGCCCATTATGCTGATGTTTTGTAGTTTAAATTTTAGTTAACTCACTGAGCACCACGGCGCACACCTGTGAGCCCAGCACTGGGAAGGCTGAGACAGGAGGATCGCATGAGTTCAGGGCTAGCCTAATTGCATAATGAGACCCTGCCTCGGAAAAACAATAAATAAATAAATTGTAGTTACCTAGCTCCAGGCTTACTAAATATTTCTGAGATCTGAAATGGATTAACTCTGACCTGAGTTTTCCTGAGAAGAATGCAGTCTTACATTTCTCTTTATTTTAATTTTATTTTTGGTTTTCATAGGCAGAATCTCACTAGTGAAGCCTAGTTTGGCCTGAAGTTTTACCGTCCTCCTGCCTCAGCCCAACTGATGGGATTGCAGACGTGTGCCACCACGTCTAGCTTTTCACTTTTGTTTTTTGGGAGTTTTTTTTTGCAGGGGTGGGGCAGGGCTTGAGACAGGGCCTCACTATGTCATCCAGGCTGGTTTGGAACTCAGGGTGATCATCCTGTCTCAGCCTCCCGCATACTGGGATCATAGGCATGAACACCATGCCCAGGCACCATTCCCTGTGACGTCTGTTACCATAGCAACTGAAAAACTAACTATCTCCTTTATTTGTAGTCCTTCTTAGGAACAGCACAGTGAGGGCTGACAAGACAGGGCCGAATGAGGCTCAGGTGCTGACAGGCCCCACATGTTTCCCCCTTGGGGCAGATGGCACACGGCATGGGGAGGCTGAGGCAGGAAGGTTGCAAATTCTAGCCCAGCCTGAGCAATTTAGTGCTTTGGCAAGACCCAGTCTTGAGATAAAAACTAAGAGGCTGGGACCCAGCTCGTGTGCCAGCACCTCAACCCCGTCCCCAGACAGACTTGGGCCAAGGCTTTGCTGAGCATGTGGGCACCACAGGGAGTTTACCCAGCAGGGCACTGAGATCCTTGGTCACTGGGGAGACAGAGGGAGGCCAGGAAGACTCCGTGGAGGGGTGCAGGCTTCGAGGGCCAGGATGCAGGGAGCCAGTTCTCTGGGTGCCCCTCCCGCCTGGGCTGCACCCCAGGCCCCACTGCTCCAGGCCCGGCTCTGTTTGCCCAACTAGGGAGGTAGAGGCAGCTTCTGGGCTGTGCAGATGAGAAATGAAGTCCCCACCCCTTAAGCTATGCCCTCAGGAGGCTGAGGCAGGAGGATCACCATAAATTTGAGTCTAGCTTGGGCTACACAGAGTTCAAGGCCAGATGGAACTATACAGCAAGACCCTGTCTCAAAACACAAAATGTAAAGCTCTGGACTGCTTATTATCTAAAATCATTAGACAATTCTTAATCACCATGTATTGCAAACATATACCAATAAAAATCAAAAGAGCCGGGGATTTACCTCAGTGGTTCCAGAGCCTGCCTCGAAAGCGCAAGGACCCCAGTTCAATCCCCAGTACCACAAAAAAAAAAAAAAAAAAAAAAAAAAAAAAAAAAAAATCAAAAGTAAGGCCAGTGTGGTTGTGCACACCTGTTATCCTAGCACTCAGGAGGCTGAAGCAGGAGGATCACCATGAATTAAAGGCCAGCTCAGACTACATAGCAAGTCCCTGTCTCCAAAATAAATCAAATTTGAAAAAAAACAATTCTGGCACTTTTAAAATGCACTGAAAAAAGGCTGGGGGATTTAGCTCTGGTTCTGCCGCCTGCCTCGAAAGCACAAGGTCCTGAGTTCAATCCCCCCGCAAAAAGCACTGAAAATTTGTATAAAATTCTGAATTTAAAGAATCATAATACAGATAATTGTCCAACAAAAAAGTAGGGAATTTCACATGAAGGTACAGGCTTTTTTACAGGAAGTCTCTCTGTTGTTCACAAAGTGAGAAATTCTGTTAAAATCCTGAGCCTGATGGACTTGATTTCCCTGGTGGTTCTTTGGTTTCCAGCAGTCTGGCTGCAGAACAAAGACAAGAGATGAGGCCCAGTCCTCAGGAGTCAAACCTCGAACACAGACCAGGCACCGCCTGGGTCCCTGGGCAGGGGCAGCGTCTCCCAGGGCACAAGTCCTGGCTCTGTGCACACCAGCTACATACACACAGAGGCAGCTGCAGACTGAAAGAAGAAAACAAAGTAGTGGAGACACCCTGGGTGCCTCTGAGTGACAGCCCCAAGGTCCCACGGCTGCCCGGACAGCCTAATACGTCAGAAACCTTCTTGGGGTGACAGCTATGAGAACACACTGTTCACTGCCTGGAGTTGTTTGCTCTGCTGCTTTTGAAGGGTTGGTTTTTCTTGGAGTGTACGTTTTTATTCTGTTCTATCCCTGCATGTTGGGTCTCTCTCACCGCCCGGATGTGACTGAATCGGGGCTTGTTTGTAGCTCTGGGTGGCTCCACAGCTCCATGTCAGCACCCAGAGTCTGAGAAGTTAAGTCAGTGCCACCCCATTTCCAGCCCAGTCACGGCCCCTCAGCAAAGCTGGCCAAGCTCAGGAGGCCAGCGTTCTGTCCTCAGCAGTGTGGGAATCGGAAGTCGTATTCCCAGTTCAACCCGTGTACTCACTCTGCTTGTCTCTTGAATAACTATCCAAAAGTGCTTATCAGTGGCTGCCCTGCAATAGCTAATAATATTATCCTTTTAAAGATCCCCGAAGCCAGGTGTGCAATATATGCCTGTAATCTCACTGCTCGGAGGCTGTGGCAGGACTATTTCAAGTCTGAGGCCAACCTGGTTTACATGGAGAGTTCCAGGGCCACCTGATAACATCCTTGAAAGATCCTGTTTCAAACCTCCCCCCAGAACATCCCTAAAAAAATGCAAATCTGTCCAAGTCCTTATAACCAACATGTATCTCTGATAACCTTTAACTGACACAATAGGTAAGATGGAAAAACCACACAGGATAGACAGGCAACCTTTCTACTAAATTAAAACTTTATTGAATAAAGAACACTCCAGAACACACAGTCTGATGGGCCAGGTCTGCGTCACACGCAAGGCAGCAGGACACACAGCGGTGTAACACGGAATGTCAAACGCACCAGGCTTCTCCGCTGCCCGAAACCGTTTGATGTGGTTGATGCGGGAGAAGAAAAGTAGGAACCTCGGACTTTCACCGTTTGCTTGGGATGAGTTTCAAAAAGGCACTTGAAACTGGTCGATGTCTCTAGCATACAGTTCAAATAAATTAGTTACACGCGCTCTCCCCAAAGCTCTCAGCTTCTCCTGTAGCCCCAGCCGCCCAGACGAGTATGGACAGAGGACCGGTCCTGGACTGTGTGTTAAGGAGGCCACGAAGAGGACACCAGCTACTGCCCTCCTCCTAGGGACACTGAGTGACAGTGCCCCCCAAGCCTCCTGCCTCTCACATTAATGACTAAAGCCTGTTTACAGTACTAAAATCCTATCATTCAAGCATCGATGATTATATTTCAGAAAAAAGGAAACCATTCATTTCGGTAATAGCATTACTGCTACATTCTAAAAAGAAAAAAAAAAAAAGAGAAAAGGAATTATAATCAACAAAGCCAGTATCCACAACAGGATAGTGGGGAAAACATTTTAGCAAAAGTGTGCTTTGCCACACGGTAGGAGCCTTACAATGTAAACAGGGCACGGCCCATCGTGGCCATGAGGAAGGTTCGCCTGCATCATTTCCCAGCCTGTGCTGCACCTGTCTGTACCAATGCATGAGAAACAGAGCACTCGTGCGCGCGCGCACACACAAACACACACACGCGTGACTGGCAGGTGCCAGGTGTGGCTTTTGTGTCCCCAACACGACCTCAGGAAAGTGCCCAGGACGCCTGACGCTTCCCAGGGTAAAGAGCCTCCAGGGGTGTGGGTGGGGCCACGAGAAACCCTGTCAGGATGGGTGTGCATGGGGTGGAGGGGCGTGTGTGGCAGAGCCTGCTCTGTGGGCCTTGTCTGCACTTTTAAATGACACCAGAAGTTTAAAAAATACCTCAAAAGGGAGTTGCAAAAGCCCACGACACCACCGGTTGGCCTGGAAAGCGCCCTCCAAGTGCAAAATGACACGGAATGTTTCAGCGGAGGCACAAGGCGTGCACAGTCTTCCATCTTTCTCTTCTTGAAAAGAAGCAAGATGTTCAGGAAGTGTTTATTCCTGGCCAAAGGCACTTCAGTTTCTTGGTAAAACAAAGGTTAAAAAGATATATGTAGCCACAATCACCAGCCACCCTTTCACACACTCAGAGGCGCCCGGGGTATGGGGAGGAAAAGCCCTTACCTATCTATACCCACTACGCAAGCCAGGGCCGAAACCCACGGAATCCACAAGGTCAGAACCAGCCGCGCCTCCTCCCCCCGCACCCCAGAACCTCGGTGCTAAGCCAGTCTGCATCGCAGCCGCCGGCTGCCCCTGGCCCAACAAGAGCCCCGGCGCGCTCCTCCTGTCTCTCCACACCGCCGCCCCGGGGCCAGGCCTAGATCTCCAAGTCGTCAGGCCGCGGCCGGCTGCTGGCCCGGCTGCTGGCCCTGCTGGATGGCCGCTGGTCCACTAGGGCCAGGGGCTGGAGTTCAGGCCCAGCCGCCACCTTCTTGGCATTCTGGGCGTCGTCAGCGAAGTCAAAGGGCTGGGCATGGGAGTTGGAGATGGTGCTGCCTGCCTGACCCATGCGGTTCTGCTCGGCGCTGTAGTTGGCCCAGTTCTGCTCGCTGGCCTGCTTGTTGTAGTTGCGGCAGGAGGAGTTGTTCCTGTCCCCGGTCACCAGCTTGTACCCGGGCGGCGACATGGGCGACAGGGGCGCGGTGGGCGAGGAGCAGCCGTTGAAGTAGGCGTACTTGGGGGAGCCACAGTCCTTGGAAGGACTCAGGGGGCCGCCGGCCGGGTGGTAGGGGTCGCTCCGGCCCTTGACCCGGTCCTTGACGCCCTTGAAGAACACGTAGAAGAGCTCGATGATGTTGAGGGCCAGCGACACCAGGGACACCACGAGCATGAAGATGATGAAGATGGTCTTCTCGGTGGGCCGGGACAGGAAGCAGTCCACCTGGTGCGGGCAGGGGTCGCGCTTGCAGGTGTAGACGGCGCTGAGGCTGAAGCCGTAGATGTACCACTGGATGAGCAGGAAGGCCACCTCGAAGACCGACTTGAACAGGATGCTGATGATGTAGGTGCGCAGCAGGCCGCCGCGCATCTTCACCTTGCCGTGCTCCTCGATGCCGTACTTGAACTTCTTGATCTCGATCTGCTTTAAGTGCATCTCCACGTTGGCGCCGTCCGTCTGCGCCACCTTGAGCTCCTCCTCCTTCTTGTTCAGCTTCTCCTCCTTGCGCATCACATAGAAGACGTGCGCCAGGTACAGCAGCGTGGGCACCGACACGAAGATGATCTGCAGCACCCAGAAGCGCACGTGCGAGATGGGGAAGGACTTGTCGTAGCACACGTTCTCGCAGCCCGGCTGCTGCGTGTTGCAACGGAAGGCCGACTGCTCATCGCCCCAGGCCGACTCCACCGCGGTGCCCAGCAGCAGGATGCGGAAGATGAACAGCACCGACAGCCACACCTTGCCGCCTGCTGTGGAGTAGGCCTGGACCTTGTCCAGCAGCTTCCCGAGGGCGCTCCAGTCTCCCATGCTGCCTGGGGCTCACCTGTGGGGACAGGAGGAGGGTGTGAGCACTGGCTGGCACCCAGACGGAGCCTCACTCTGTGGTGGAGGCTGGCTTCTAACCGAAGCCAACCCTCCCGCCTCAGCCTCCGGAGTGCGGGGACCACTACACCCAGCTGACTGCCGAAACACTGCGAAATGCCCATTACCCTCCCGGCATTCTTCAAGAGCAGAAAAAGCACCAGGACGAGCGCAAACTCCCGTCTCATTTTCCACCCCACAGGACTCGCCTCCCGCCCTCCAACATACTGAGAGGCAGCAGGGCCCGGCAGAGGCTGTGCCCACGGCGCCCTGCGGCTCACTACCTCCGGTGGGCAGCGTGGCCTCGCCTAGACCCGGGGGGCAGGTGCCAGGCACATGGCCCACGGCCCATGTGGCCAGAGGTGAGCAGCAGGACGGCCAGTGCTAGGCACGCCAGGTGCAGACTCACCCTGTGCCCATTTTGCTCACCGTTACTCAGAGAAAGATCTTGTTTTGCCTTTTTTTTTCTCCGTTTGCTCTCTGAGCCAGGCCCTGCTGTGCAGCAATCCAGGCTGCCCTGAACTCACGGGCCACCCTCCTGCCTCAGCCTCAGGCTGTGGTGCCCGCTGCCGGGTGAAGCTGCTGTATCAGCACTGGCTCTTCACTCAGCTCCTTCAGAGCTGTGGAAATAAGAGAGAGCGGCTGCACTGTGCCCAGATCCACCTCAAGGAGTCCTGCCTCCCACACCCTGTCTGCAAGTCGTCTCCGGGACGCAGTCGATCAGTGCTCGTGCTCAGTGCTTGGTGCTCGGTGCTCCGCCTCCCAGCCCGACCGCTCCAGACCCAGTTCCAGATCCAGACCTGGCTGCTCTGCTCCAGCCGGCGGCCGGTGTCCAGGCCCGGAAAGCCTGCTTTTATTTTTAGTCACTGTTTAAAACAAGTGTCCCAGGTGACTGTGAAAGTTTCAGATTAGCAGACAACAGTTTCTCGTATGTTCTGGTGTATTCTTATTCAAAATATTTGGAAACGGGATCGATGCCAGGAAAGCTCAAAGGCACAAGGTGTCTACAAAGTCCTGGTGGCCCCGGACTCCTGTCCCGCCCTCCCTGAACCACCTGGCAGCTCCCAAGCCACAGGAGACGCTCGCTCGGCCACCCACAAAAGACCTTTCACACACAGCCTCTCTCCTAACTCGCTCTTCTGCTAGAGCCTTAAGACACCCTCCAAGCTAAAGATGTGGTTGCTTCCTCTTACTGAAAGCTAAATAGGTCTTTTTTGGTACCAGGGATTGAACTCGGGACCTTAAGCAGCAACACTGAGCTAAATCTCTGGCTCAGTAAGTGAAGTAGTTCTTACAAGCAGAAATTGTCTTTACTTTTCACTTTAAAGATTTTTTTTTCCCCGAGAAGAGACAACAAACACAGGTAGACAGGGTCTCTGATTCCTACAGTGGGCTCTTCGGTCTCTCCTGGTTTAAGGGTGGAAAGAAACAAGGAAGAGGAACTCTGTTAATACTCAAAAGACAGGAAATCATCTAGAAGTGGAGGAAAGGTCCACGAAGTCCCTGATAAGATCGCAGAATGAATTTGAGGGGGTGCTGCGTCCAACACTGGACACCCAGCACCTATTGGGCGGAACCACTCAGAGCCCTGGCCCTGCTTTTCCAACCCCCCGTGGGCAGTGTCCACTCCCCACCAGCATCCACACAGCAGGAAAGCCTGCCGGGGCTCTGACCCTCACACAGCCAGGACCTGCCTCCCACATGCCCTGCTGAGCCTGCCCAGGGCCTCGGTCACCTCCGGTCACCTCCCCGGTGTCCCTGCTGCCAACCGCACTGCAGGCCCAGTCTGCAATCGCCCCCCTCCCCCCGCAGCTGGCCTGGCTGTCTTCTCCTGTAAGCCAGCTCTCCCCACCTTGCAGGGACGGATGGCAACACCCCATCCTGTCACTTCCTCTCCGGGGCGCCCCACCACCTCCCCTGCGGCCCAGGCTCGAGCTGTGCCGCTGCTCAGAGACCAAAACCTGCCGGCTGGAGCCCTGGGCGGCGCACCTGTGCCTCCTCCCTTGTCACTCTTCACCGCAAACCACCAGAGTTCCCACCTAGCCAGGGGACTGGGGTCAGGCAGAAGCCAGGGCGCCTCCCGTTAGGGCCCTGCTGGGCAGAGCTGCATCCCCAGCCGCGGGATGGCACAGATTCGGGCGTCGTGGGGGTCT